TTGTTTGTTTCTCGTTTTTTTTTTTTTGGGGGGGGGGGAGGTGTCTGTGTCCCAGGAATGTGCTTCATGTTTAGATGGCTAAAACTGGGTTAAGATCAATTTGTCTCTAAAAATCAAGCTCTGGGGGTTGATGGAGCTGACTGGCTATTATATCACTAATATATCTATTTTGAGTCTTTTCCAAGCCTCACATTTTACCTATGTGCTCCACATTCCCCGTTCCTAGGTATATAATTGCCTCTGGCTTGGTTAAAATGCATTGTCTTTAAACAGATTCTGTGAACTAAGTGATCCCGGTCACACCATGACAGTGCTGTCATAGTTATTCACTGTCTGACCAGCATTTGTGTCAATCACGACACATTTTATAAGCCGTGATTCTCACTGACTGCTGTCCCTCTTGCTAATACTGGAGGAGGCCCTTCCAACTACAACCCGAGTGGCTTCCTACTGATACTTACTTGCTGATAACTGTCAGCCAGTTTTTAATCTTGTTCTGTGCTTGCTATTTTGTTTTTTAGACATAAATCAGAATGTCACAAGATTCTAAAGTATGTGCAATACGAAATGCTAAGCAGGCTGCAAACATGCTGTTACTTTATCAAACTCACAGTCTCTAAAATAAACAAAATTAGGTTTGTTTGACCAGAAAACCTTTACGTAAAGCCATGTTTGCTAGCATTCATTGTATTTCTGATCCTTTCTACCTCTTGAACTCCATGACAATTTTTCACTAGTTTCCATAGTACAGGTTCAAGGCTAACTATACTCATCTGAGCCATCCAGCGCCGCTGTCTGAACACTGACATGCCACTATCAATCTCTCTGCACCTTGCACAATTTTCAAATTATTCTTAAGTTTTAAGAATCAGGATCAGTGAACCAGATAGCTTCCCCACACCAACTATTTGGGAAATGAACCTGCCATTAAACATGCTTATCCTTAGTAATATCTCATCTTTGATGTCTTGGCTAATACCCTCTTTTAATTACCACTGATCTGGATTTGGCCTTTAATGTTCCAGTCGCTTCACAGTACAAGGCTGTCGGCAGTCTCCAAGAACACCACCTTGCAGCTAAGCTCGTCTGCTGTCAAAACTCATTCACTGTCCAAAAGCCGAAGTTTTTATCCCACTTTCCCTGGACCCTCTTGGGGATTTTAACACATCCAGACATCTAGCAGAATAAACCTGCAAAGATGCATGCAAACCTCCGGATGCAAGACTGTAGTGGGGGAACACAGTTTTACGCCCTTCGCAGCCTAATTAGCCCTCATTCACCAAACTCAAGTTCAGAGACTTGGGTCTGTCTTCACTTGTTGCAGGACCAGAGCTGCAATGAAAAGACATCCAAAGTGCCTTGATATTTCTATAGTCACATCAGCCTAGAAACCAAAGGATAAATGAGGCATGAAAATGGCAATTCCCTGTTAAAAATACCTACTCAAAATAAAGCAGGTAGGACAAGATAAATGACTAGGTCTGGAAGACTAACGAAGACCAGAAGGGAAAACAGACATTTCCCCAAGCGTCTTACACTCTCAGTCGCCCTATGTGGGGTGGCAGGTACGAGTATACTGTGAGTGCAGCTCCAGACAGGCTGGTCTACATAACCCATAGCTTCGTCATTAGCTGCCAAATGGACGCTCACCTTGATCTCCCTGCCTGATGCCCCGGTGCCAATTCATAAAGGAATTTCAACTGTTGATTCTTTCAGTGAGATTATAGGGAGATATGCTGGTGAGATGCCGACTCCAGCTTCAAATCCTGCTGACAATCACCATCAAATGAACAGAATGTGGTTAAAACGCTTAAGGCAATCTTAATAAACAGGCACTGGGGAAATTTACTGGCACTGTACAGAAGATGGTCTGATAGGAGTTGGTTGGGGTTTTTTTTAGAGAGAAAGATGGACTGGCTTGGAGATTTTAATGTGTTGGTTTTCTAGTCCGACTGCACCCAGCTCCAATTTCCAGCCACTAGGTCTTGTTAGACCACTGACTGCTAAGTTGAAGAGCCTGCTATGAAAGCACTTCTGCCCATCCAAGCACTTATGTACTCTCCACCTTTATCAAGCCTAATAAAAATAAATCATGTTTTCTCTAATCTTCCATTAGGCCTATTTTTCAGCTTCTTAATCATTCTTACTGGCCTGAGAAAGTTCAGTTTATGAATGTCTCTCCTGAGCTGTGGGCCTCACAGCCAGACTTGACAACGTGTGGGACAGGATCTGGAGTTTATCAGCTCCTGCTCTTTGTGAGAGGTGCCAAGGAAAGAGGAGATGAAGACCTGCTTCAGGACGCATGATTCCCAGGCAGCAGGAAAAAGCGGAAAAAAGTGCAGTAAGGACAGGCCATGGGCACATGTGCCTCCAACTCCTCAGCAGGTAGAAGTTGGGCTGTTGCTTCCCAGCATCCAAGTCGGAAGCCCCGGTAGTTCCCGCTGCCCACTTATACCGCTGTGTAGCTTCCCAGGCTATTGCATGTGATGGCTGGACAAGGAGCAGCCCCCTCCTACACGAGACCTCAGCTC